AAATAGTTTGGCCATCCGCGTCAACAACCCGAAGAGCTCTCCTTGACCGATTTTTCGGCTCGTTTTCGCAGACTTTCGTGGGGCTCGCACGCACCTCCTGACACCTTTCTTCATCCTTCCACGCTAAACCAGCGCTCTCAACCAACCACCGCCTGCACCGCACTCATCACTGTCCAACCGGACCTGGTGATCTCGGTTACCCCGCTGCAGCCACTTTCGTCGGTGAGCCAGGTTCAAAAACATCAAATACGTACCGTGGTTGCGGAATAATAATAGCCGTTCCATCCATCAGCCTGTCGCTGCTCGCTTTTTCATTGTATCAGGTGGCCCATCCTGTCTTACCAGGTATGTACACACCTACTCTCTTCCGCTCTGACGTATTTCCTCCTGGTTCTGGTTCTGGTTGCTAAATAAGCTTCAGTCTTCCACAGAACGTTATATATAAAGTTTAGAGGAACCCGAGAGGGAGCCAGAAATTCTAAAACTTCAAAGGGGTGGGAAAAGAAAACGAAAAGGTTTACAAACCATCGACCACCTCTTTTGCTCTTTGCTCACAAGTTGTTTTGAAATTGGGTTCGGTCCTCCATTTCTTCGTCCTTATTCTTTGAAGACTTCGATGGAGCACTTGACTGCATCAGTGGATTCCCTCTCAGAATTGAAATTCATATTCACTGGGTACAAGTGATTGCTTGCATCTTAAGTTTTGTCTTTCCACTGATTAACTTACCGCAATTTCCTCCTTCGCTTTAATCCATACACTCCTTTCATCCTTGCAATACCATAACCCACACACCTGGGTCAAGACCCATCGCACCAACGGGTTCTCCCAAACGAACCATGCCTGCAAGCCCCACCAACGTTGACAGTGGAGTCATGTCTTCCATGACACAACAGCGATCGTACGCTGCCTTTTTTGAAGACTTTGATGAAGATACCAACGACGTCATCCCAGAGAGTAAGACAGTTGCCAACGTTGCCGCCAAACGATCATCACCAAAGTCTGATATTCGACCGTTGGTGACAAGCACTGACGGTGCGAGCGACTCCGGTTACTCGAGTCGGACCGCAGCTACTCTTGGCAGTGCCGAGTTACTTCCCAATGGGAAGAAGAGTCCTATTTTAGTCCGGTTGGATACAGCTATTGTCAATCGGGATCTCGAGCGAGTAAGAGGCCGTGTCTTCAACGATAGAGACAAGAAACAAGCAAAAGGTAAGGTTGGAGAGAAGGAGAGGGAGAGGGTAGAGGAGAGGGTAGAGGAGAGGGAAAAGGAGAGGGAAAAGGAGATGGCAAAGGAGAGTGCAAAGGAGAGAGAAAAGCAGGAAGACTCGAGGGAATCCAGCTCTTCACCCTCCACCGCTGCGACAATGCACCCAAGCCAGCATAGAAGTTCCAGCAGACCAGCCCCCAAGCGGCCCTCGTCCAAGGCCAGAAAACGGGGGATGTCTTATGGACACTATGCTCCCGACACATGCCCTGGCTGTGATCTGATCGGTTACAGCACTGTGAATATGGGCCACCCTCCCAATCATCATACCATGGATTACCCTCACTACATGCATGGTTATGATGTTCCTGCATTCCCTCACCCATACCACTACCCGCCGATTGTTACTCAGGAGGCTGTATCATCTCGCCGCAACGGGTCGAACTCTTTCCACCAAAATCGACCCATCAGCTTCCACTCGGGGGCTATGGGAGACATGAGCATGTATATGCAAATGCCTCCCCCCCAAAGTTACGAACATGGCCCACCCATCTCAGCGTCTGCATATACACACTATATGCAGCCTTACATTCCCGGTGGGTCTGTTATACCCGTACAACATTCTTCCCAGATGCCATATGATTCTGGGCCACATCCTATCTTCGAACGTCCTCGGGCATCCTCCACCTCCCGTTCTCCTGAAAAACCACCGTCTGCCAGAAGGGGTTCAATGTATGGAACCCCAGTAGTAGAATACCCTGCTTCCCCGTCACATAAAAGTGACACGCTACAACGGAGACCTTCTGCACGGGAGGCTCGTGCACGTCGTCAGTCTCAATCCTTCGACACCGCTGAAGACTTCTACCGCACGCCACAACCACCTGTCCCCAAAAACAAACCACCCCCACAGGTGATAATTCCCCCTCGTCGTCCGCCCG